CGCCCCGGTGCGGTCCGAAGCCCCGGGGTCGGTCGGTAACGGGGGGGATGGAGCCGGATGGGGGACGGACACGGGGATATGTGGCTGCCCGGTGCCGTGCTCTCGGTAAATCGCCCCGATACCCGGTGCTCCGTGCCCCCCCGGTGGCGGCAACGGGCTGCGGGAGGGGGATTAGCCCCGGGACGGTTCCGGTGCTCACAGAGAGAGAAAGAAACCGAAAAGGGTTTTTTTTTTATTGTAGTTAAACGACAATTTCAAAAATCAAATGCCATCCAGTGTCTTCTCCTCAATTTGTAATTACCTCTTTTAAAAAGCACAGATTTAAAGTTGTTAAATGGAGTTCCACACCGCAGCTTGCATTGCAGCAGCACAGAAAACTCTTTATTTTAATACCACTTGGGAACCGACTGCCTGTTGAACGCTTGTCTGCATTTAATTTTGTCTTTTAAGATCGTATTCAGGAATGAAGCTCACAGAGGATGCTGGTAAGTACGACTGCAGAGCCTGAGCTTGTGGTACGCGTCAAACCGTTATCGTAATTAGCCTCATCTCTCCACCTTGCAGCTCCACAATGAGAGGAAAACGGGCTGTGCGCTGTGGTTAAGCAGCTAAACCTCAGGCTGGCAGAGCAATCCTTCCAAACTACCTCTCCTCCTCACCCAGGAGGTCAGGTATGGGTTTGATGCCTTTTATTAATTGGCCTTAATGCGACACCTTCCCATCTAGAGGGGCAGGTGAGCCAGGAAGGAGGGGAGGCACACGCCTGCTTTGAAAAACAGAGTTTTGTATGGCAAAAGCCAGTGATCAGGCAGTGACCTGGGGAAGAAGGAAAGGAAATGGGAAGTGGAAGATCTCCTACAGGGAAGTAAAAGATCTCCTACAGGGAAGTGGAAGATCTCCTACAGACAAGAGATAATGAAAGCTCTCGCTAAGTTCCAGGCTGTGACCAGGCCAAATCCTGCACTTTGGAAATGGAAGGCATATTGAAACCAAACAGCTTAAACATCACCCCTCCCTCTGAAGCAGCGTGAGTTATCACCTGGGGTTTGTTGTTAAGGTGCAGCTGCATTTAGGAACAAGACACCACCCCCAGGGAGAGTTAACTGTTTTACCAGTAGCTTTCATCACAGTTTGAGGACAAGCTCTTTTCACAGCAAACAACTTTTCAGGTGATTTGCAGCCTAGAAAAGTTATGGATGCACTTCTGCTGCAGAGAAGATGGGCAGATAATAGATGCTTTGCCAGAAAATTGTAGGAACCACCAAGAGAAGATAGACTGTGCCTTTACTCACGATGGTCCCCATCATCAGTTTCTTAGTGTATAATTATCATATGTTGGTACTAAAATAATTTAAACTGGGTGATTTACTAATGCATTTACCAAAAGCCTACTTTACCAGCAACCAAGGTACTTCCAATGGGCAAAAATGAATACATGTTCACACAGACAAGTAAGCAGAGGGAGCCCATGTAGTTAGTACCCCACAGAACTGCCCCTGCTTGTCTCACCCACAGGAGGATAAGGAGGCAATAAGTACAAGCAGTGACCAGTTGGCTCCTTAAAACCCTCCTTCACTCTGCTTCTGGGAAGCAAGTTTCAGAGGCGTTTGTCATTAAAGGTAAATTTTTGTTTGTTTATAATCAGGGTTTGTAAGGTATTTCAAGAATTTAAACGCATTAATTGAATGCACGAGAGCCACATCTCCAGCTCTATCAGGCAGAGTTAACTGTGAAGCTGATGTTTACTTTTGTCACAGAAAGTGCCAAGTTCCATTGGTTTCCTCTTGGCAGTACACAGGGAAAAATGAAAAGCTCCAAGTTTCTTAACGCAGTTGCTGTGCGGATTGAGTTTGAAACATTTTGAAGGTTTTTTTGTAGCAACTTTAGTGGATTAAGTGATGTGACATAAAAAGAGTCAAAACCAATTGTACACTTCTGACCTTTATAAAACAGCAGCAGAGGAACAACAGCTCTAACTGTCTGACACCATCACTTTCACCAGTCCTTCCATAACAGTCTTCCCACTTCCTTTGACTTTACACGACACTGAAATGTGTGCAATAGAACCCTTCAGTCGTGTAACTTCCGCTGCAGCTGTGACTTCTTCTCCAGCATACAGAGGAGCTGGAAATCGGATCTCCTGAGAGAGAAATACACAACCTTGACCAGGCATTTTAGTACCCAGAACTGCAGAAATGAGTCCATTGATCAAAACTCCATGCACAATAGTTCTCCCAAACCTAGATTTCTTTGCAAAATCTTCATTTAAATGCAAAGGATTTGTGTCACCTGTTAAATCAGAAAAAGTAACAACATCATTCTGTGTAAAAGCTTTGGTAAGTTCAGCTTTGTCTCCAACTTTTATGTGTAAACTCTGAAGTACGGGACGTCCAAGCAGCGAGCTGATAAGGGTTAGCTTTGTCAAGGTTCTTTGTCGGAAATCCCGTCCAGAAATTCCATACTTGAACGGCTGCAACATCTCAAGCAACTTCTGCTTTGTACAACCAAACCAACAACTGCATTCAGTCCAAGACTAGTTCTCTGCTGTTCGCAGATAAAGCAAGAAGAAATGGAGATGTCTAGTTTGGGGGGAAACAAAAACAAAGCAAGAAACAAACAAAAGCATTAAAAAAAACCACAACCAAAACACCATCAAATACCCTCAAAGTTGAAAATACTTAAATTTCTCTTTTACAGAAAAGATTAAAAACTTAGAGCTATGCCTGAGCAGATTTTCATTTAGCCATTGCTTCGTAGACAAAGAATTCTTGGAAGTTATTTTATTAAGCAGCACCCTCAGGGAAAAAATGAGCTCTGGAAGTGCATGTTTATGGCATTTTCAAATTGGGTCAGTCAACAGTGACTATTAGAAAGGGAAGACATGGAGTAGGGGAAATAAAATATTGGACCAAGGTGCAGGCTAAGAACAAGCTTTCCAGAAATTATTTTCTTCCAGATGTATTAATGAGATCAGCACTTCTCACTGGAATGGAACCATTCATTATAAGATGGGAATTACTTAAACGGAGGCTTATACACCTGCACTGAAAAGCACTTCACTCCCAAACCAAGACATTTTTGCATCTAGGCCATCTCTCTATGAAGAGGCAGTGTGCTCAGCCAGCCAGACCAGCTCACAGCGAGAACTGACACACGGGGGAAGCTGTCCAGCCCCCACAGGGCTTTACCTGCAGAACTCGAAAGGCACACCTCCTGTTCTGGTAGAAACCCAGCAACGTTAGAGCACTCCACAGCTTGACAAGGCCACTAAGCAAAAAGAAAAATGAAATTTATTAGTAAAATTTGGTTCTCAGTTTTCCTGCAGCATACATATCTTAAATCAAAGCATGTTACAAAGATTAATGAAGCTGTAATTGAGTTCAACCACATGTAATTTCACCAGTGAGTTCTGGTAGCAACACTGTGCCCTGGAGCGCTATTGCAATGACTGCAGTCTCTTGTCCCTGACATACAGTGATCTGTACTCTAACCTTTTCAAGTTCACTTTCCCAGCCTTGTTCTTTCTGTGCCTTTAAGCTCCTCCTTCCCCTAAATCACCTGCAGTTATCCTCACCATTTAAATCCAGTGCCTTTACTAGAGAAAGAGATTTAAAGTCACATATTTCAATGGTCCTGCCAGGCCATTCTGTTTTAAAGGAGAAATAATGTACTGATACAGGTAGGTTACCAAATCTCAGTGAATTTTTATTTTCTGCATACTTTATGCAGACATCTGCAAGTTAGGCTTAATTCTTCAAAGACTATTCTTAGGTTAAGAGTTCTGTTTTCTTACAAAAAGTATTTTCATAGCAGTGTCTCAAGTGCGTACCTGCCATACCTTACCTGCTAATAACTCTTAATATAGCAGACAGAGTTTTTTCCTCGTATGTTAAGACATCAACAGGTAAAGCTGCTCCAACCTATGAAAAAAATATAAGTAAGTACCCTCCCATGCTTTTATAGTGGTTTATAAGCAAGTGGATTCACTGCCAGCATTAAAGGTGTTATAGTTATGCCTAAATCTCACATGAGCATTTCAGCAACAGCACCACTAGATTTTATACAGCTCCCTTCCTCTTGGAGCTCTTCAGAGAGGAACCACCACTTCTAGTTCCACATTACAGCTGGGAAACAGGGGCCCAGGGGTGATGTGAGTTACCTAAAGCCACCCAGCAACACCGCACACCGAGCAAGAACAGCACCGGGGATTCCCCCAGCCGAGAAGCTGTTCCCTGCCCATAGTTCTGCTTTTAAACCCTCACTGCAGCACCAGCATCCATACCCCAAATTCCAGAGGCCAGGTACAGAATCATGGAATGGTTAGAGTTAGAAGGGACCTTAAAGATCATCAAGTTCCAACCCCCCTGCCCTGGGCAGGGACACCTCCCACTAGAGCAGGTTGCTCAAAGCCCCATCCAGCCTGGTCTTGAACACCTCCAGGGATGGGGCAGCCACAGCTTCTCTGGGCAACCTCTTCCAGTGTCTCACCACCCTCGCAGTAAAGAATTTCTTTCTGGTATCTAATCTAATCTAATCTTCCAATTTAAAACCATTACCCCTTGTCCTGTCACTACAAAGAGTCCCTCCCCATCTCTCCTGTAGCTCCCTTCAGGCACTGGAAGGCTGCTTTAGGGTCTCCCTGGAGCCTTCTCTCCTCCAGGCTGAACAACCCCAGCTCCCTCAGCAGAAGCCACTTCGCTGTGGCCGCCAAAACAAAACGTACAACTCCCCCTCCCCACCCTCAGCTCGGTTCCTGCGCGGGGTACCGGAGAGCCCAACGGGAGAGACTGCTCCCTCCCCTTCAAAACACACGGCGGGAGGCAGGGGCGGCCCGGCGGCTCCCGCACGGCCCCAGGCCCAGCCCGAAGCCGCCGGCCGACGGAAGGCGGCCCGGCTCCGGCCCCCCTCTCCGTGCAGCTCCCTCAGCGCCCGGCCCCGTCCCACCTCTCCGTGCAGCTCCCTCAGCGCCGACACCACCAGCTGCTTGAACTGCGCCACGTTCGGCCGGGCCCCGCCGTCCGGCAGCTCCCTGCGGGGAAGCAGAGCAGAGAGGGCGGGATGGGGAGGCTCCGCGGCGGCGGCGGGGGGGAATATCTCTCCCTACCTCACACACACACTCGCTCGCTTACTCACAGGCGGACCCGCAGGTAATGGTGCTCCGCGCCGCTCCGCACCACCCACCGCTCGAAGGTGGCAGCCGGCACCGCCGGTGGTTCCATCCTCCCTGCAAGGCCGCGCCCCGGCCCCTTTCTACGGCGGCCCCGCGGGCCCAGCTCGCCGCGCCCCGCCTCCGCCTCGCCATGGCGACCGGGCGGCGCCGGCGGGAGGCCTTAGGCCCGGCCCCGCTCCGGTAGGCCCGGGAGATTCCGGGGAAGGGCAGCGGGGCCGAGGTCCGGGCCCGCAGCCGCGGAACCAGCCTCTCCGGATTGAGGGCGGCAACGATCGGCCCTCGGGTCTGAGATTAATGCCGGGAAAGCTGCGGGAACAGGCAGTGTTTCCCAGCGCTGCAGCTTCCGAAGGACAAATATCGAAGGCTGGGCAATAAACAGGCCGCTGGTGGGGAGCTGGCAGAGATGCGCCTTCTCTTCCCCGTTAAACAAATTGTGTTGGCCCAGGTGGATTCCCGGCAGAGCGTGATCCCCTGGGCACCGTGAGGGCGAGGGGACCGTGTCATCCCAGCCTCTGGTTGGCAGGACGCAGGACTGGAAGAGGCTGGGAAGGCACAGAGAAGTTGTTGGGCAGCGTGTCTCCGCGTCTCGCTGGTGGAGGAGGTCACACGATGGTGGTGCCAGCACCAAGCCTCGCCGCTGATCCGAAGATTGGTGTGAAGTGCATCCTTCGGAGAGAAACAGCAGAAAGGATGGAAGTATCTTCGCTCTGCCAAAATGATGAAACGTCATCCTCAGCATAAAAACTGTAGAGAATCTTACTTCTTTAAAAAAAAAAGAAGAAGAGTTTAGCCAGGAATTCATATTCACCCCAGCAGGGTAATGCTGCAGAAGCCCAGCACCCATCTGATGTGCCCCAAGTTAGGGCCCAACTCACAGGACACCGTTTGCTTTTGCCACCAAGCTGCTCACTCTGTGCAAAAGAACTTGGGGGTTCAAGATGTTCTCTCCATTGGGGGTTTCTCTCTGTCCTGCAGGGAGCCCAGCCTGTTGTCCCGGGTGCTTGGCAAGCTGTGGACCTGTGCCCCAGCACGGCCAGCAGCCCACTTGTGTGCCAGGCTGTAAGGGGCACATCTCTTTTCCAGTCACTGAGCTGTTTTCATCTTCCTTCTGCTGACATGGCAGAAAACCTGGAGACAGCGCGTTTGTGTCAGCTAAACCCCTTGGTGATTTTAAAGAGGCGTTCATAAGAAAACAGCGACATATCTCACAAAAGCAGCCCCAAGAGGTTATCTAATCCACCCCTGCCTCAGACAGATACTCTAATGATTCAGCAGAGCTGGTTTACAACTGTTCAGGGGGAAAAAAAAAAATTAAAAAAAATAAAAATGTAGTGCTGGAAGAGTTCACGCTCCCCCAAGCGGTTTGTTCTTACTGTATTCCAGACAGATCTTTTCAATGCATAATCAACAGCTTCCCTGCTGCAGCTTATGGCCACTATTAATAGGCCTGTCCTAATCAATATGGGACTCATTCCCTCTTGTTTCAATATTCCCTGCCCCCTTTTCCCCAGTGCTTTTTTCCATAGAAAAAAAAAAAATCCCAGTTTTTCCTTATCCTTCTGCAAAATGTAACATTTTCTAGATATTTATCATGCTGTTGCCCTCTGACGCCTGCAGGTGACCTTGAGTTAAAGTCCCCAAAGCTGAGGCTCTACTGGAATACAGAACTTTTCTCATGTTTGGCGCCACAATCCCTCTGAGCTACTCTCCCTGACTGATTTTACAACTGTATGTAAAATGCTAAGTGTTTAGAACAAAACCACATCAAAAGCAAATACTGATTTTGAACAGGCAATTTCACATGTACCAAACTAATTTTCTTTTCAAATTGTTAGTTAGGTTAAAAAAAAAAAAAGGCAGCTTGTCACATAAAGCTTGCTGTAAGTGAATATTGTGGAATATTCAGGAATATTGTGTTTCTCCTAGGAACTGAGAACAGTCAGCACAGTGCTCAAACAATAAATCAGTTCTACGATAATTTGGCAGACAGGTCAGAGCAGCCAGTTTTATTGGGAGCAATGATATCTACAGAAACTGGTATTATTTTTTAAGATATTAGTAAAATTTTAATCACAAAACAGCAAAAGGTGGTGGTCGGGTAACGTATAAATCTCTTTTGGTTATTGCAACAGGGCGAGTGCTGTTCTCCATAAGGCTCTGACAACACAAGCACAGAAACCCGGGCACTGGGAGTAGATGGAGGAGCTGCTGGGAAGTCACTCCTGATGAAGGCGCTGGGGGCTGTGTCAGCTGCAGCGAGTCAATAAAGAGCACACACAGGACTGGACAGGAAAGGCCGGACACGACATGTCAGTTTTTTTATTAATCAAAAGTGAAGCTGAACCCCAGAGTGGTTTAACTTGTTAAAACCATATGTTTGTATGGCAGATATTTTTCTTTCATGTTCAACACTATAGTGCAAGAACCAAACTTTGCAGCTGTTCATCCTTTGAGAATCAAGTACTAAATGTAAAATGGATTAAAATAAGGGTCCCTCAATGAATCAATTAAAAAACCAAAACATTTAACTCAAAAGAACAGACCAATTTTAAGAACTGTCTTAGGAAATTCTCCTAAGTGAAAGACCTTTAAAAGCACTTGGAGCCTTGAGGTAGCAACTTTATGCAGAATTTAATTCCCCTCCTGCCCCACAGAGCAGAGGAAAATTAGTAGCGCATTATTAGCTCCAGCCAGCAAACAGAGTTGAGTGTTCTCCTGTGAGGTTAGTGACTTTCTCTTGCATCTTGAAATAGCAGTGTAGCGCTGCAGACCGTCAGGAGGAAGTCCACAAGGAAGGCCTCTTGAAATAAAAGATATGGTTTGAAAAATGTGAAGATAATCAGCAATAACCGCAACAACAAAAATTATCTGGAGTGAAAAAAACCAAAAGTGTTTGTATTTTGGCAAGACTAGTTTACAAATACATGTCAAGAACAAGAGTCTGCTTTCAGCCAACAGAAAAGAAAGAATGGAAGTGACATTCAAAGGGGGTTCGGTTTTTTTGCCCTCTGTGCAGAATTGCACTTCGTTTTTAAAGTTTTGTTTTAAGTTTTGCACTTTTGTTTCTAAAAAGAGAGCACTTCTGCCCTTTTTTGTTCTTTTACATTGTGAAACCTGTGCTGTGACATTGAACAAAAATACCATACGCCAGGATATTTGACCACTGGAAGCTCCTCTCACTGACTTCACAACAATCACAAGCAGGGAATCACGAACAAGAGACTTTTTTTTCCCCCCCCCCACTCTAAGCCTCAAAGACATTATCCTCTTTGCCCACTTTGCTGCTGAGTTCATTTATTAAAAACTAGATATGCCTCTGCTGCCAATTTCAGGCAGATTTACTGAACACTGAGCAGTAACAAAAAAACACCTGGGCTTGTTCTGCATGACAGTTGTGACGGACAGCCCCAGTGAGAAGGGCTGAGCTGAGATACAGTGATGCAGCAGATCTTTACCAACAGGCACCTCCTTCACTCTCTGGTCTTGGTATCACCACCCGCACGCTTTCCAGCTTTGCTCACTGCTGGTGGCTCTAACCAGATACCTGGCAAGGTTGAGTATCTTACTTCTCTCGCTCTTCGTGCTCCAAAGTTGTACAGATCAGGTTGGTTAAACCGGACGGAACTAATCAGGCACATTGCAAATTATAGCTTTTAAATGGAGGAGCCTTTTCACAGGCCCATTCAGCTCAAGGTCAGGTTGCCTCTTTACACCACAGAATGATGTCACAGGGATCCTGGATGCAGGATGGCATTGCCCAGCACGCCCTTGCTTCTGGGAGTCTAGGGAAAGGTAAAACTTCAAAGCTTCTTGCTTGCATGGGATCCCAAGTCTTTTGACTTTATGTTCCCATCCTTTCCTTTGACTTCTAGAAGCCATCAAGTCCTCCCTTCCAGGCAGAATTACCTTAAGAATCTAACGTCAGCTTTGCCTGTTCTTTTGGTTAAGCTTCAGAACAATTGCCAGTGTTTGCATATGCTGAGTTACACAGTCCTGTCCTGCAGAGAACCAGAATCCATCTGGAAGGCTGCCCAACCCGCCAGGCCCCTCAGGATAAAGGAGAGGATATTCTGCCTGGGAGCAGCACAGGCCAAGCCGATGATTATTCACAGCAAGTTTCTCTTTAGTTCACATGACAGTTTAGGCAGCACAGAAACTCAGGCTATTTTGGAGACCAGTTTATGTCTGGTTCACAGGACAGTCACAAGCTGCCTCAGACTCCTGTCTTGGAGCCCAAAGTATCTTAAAGTTTTATCTGTTATCAATGCGAAGACCTGATGAGTGGTTGGTTGGGGTTTTTTTTTTTTCCATGTTTTCTTGTTTTTTGTTTGTTGGTTTGGTTTTGTTTGTTTTTTAAAATTCTGTAATCAAAAGAATTATTTTGTCTTTGGTGTTAAACCTTGGAAGCATGAATGAAGTACCTGCTGCTTCTTTGGCTGTAATTTACAACAAAAAAAACAGCCCAATAAAAGCAAGGAAAATTCACTGTTCTAAAATACATGCAGTTAGAACAGCCACTAGACATCACAATCAGGACTTTAATAATATGGAAACACCTAGTTCAGTGGTGTCCATTACAAATCATTTGCATTATATAAAAATATGACTCCAATTACAGTAACTGGACAACAGCCATTCAAACTTACCAAGTTTCCATCTTACTCATATTGCAGGAACTGGGAGGAGCTCATTCATTTAAGGAAAAAAAATTGTCCAGAAATCAACTTAGAGTTGCAGCCAAGCATCTCGTGCCTTAGAGAAACGTCCACTGTGATAACTAGAAGCAGGAATTCAGCATTAGCATCCTTCTAATCTTGCCCACGTGGCCATGAATAAAAAGAGCAGATTCTGTTATACTAGCATCCACAATTAAAATTTTATAACCCCATAAAACACCAGTAAGTTTTGCACGAGCTGCAGAAGAATGCAAATTCAAAGGGTCACTAGATTTATTACCTACAAATTCAATGTCTTAATATAAATATTCTGTTTGTACACCATAAAAATGTCCTCCTTATGGTCTGATTCTTATTTAGATAATACTCTTGATAAAATCTCAGCAGTATGCCAATTAAGGTCATTAAAGCTATAGAAATAGAATCTACCTAATAAATGCTGCAAATTTAACAGGTATTTTAGATAAACATCATTAGCTCAGTTATCACCTAAACCAAAAAGACTCCTCAAACACACCAACTGCGTAGTCAGCAAAGACATTTGCTTTACAAAGTCAAATGTTGCCAACTTTTAAAAAGTTTAGCAAATCAACATGGTATTTGGAAGCATCCAAGTGTCTAATGAAGTTAGAATACTGTGAAATGTTAGGACGGGGGGAGCTCCTGTAAACAAGTACAGAAGTAGTCTTCATTTAAATTACAAAACATTCACCTCCTTAAAAAGCTTTAAAACTGACCCAGTCGACAACAGTGCCCTGGGAAATCTAGCAGTATAAAGGATCTCCGTTAGCAAGAGAAGGTCATATATTGTGATCTCACCACAATAAAATGTACTCAGTGTCAGGAACAAGGAGCAAATCTGGGGAGATGACAATTATGATACCTTCAGGCCATTTGATCTGAACCACTGCAATTTTTTGGGCAGCATAGAATAAAACAATTTTCTTTGCTGCTCAGGAAACTCTTAAAATATAGTAATGCTTGATTTTCTGCATTTTGTTGCTAAGCAGACTCTCCCATGTCCCCAGCTCGGTTTACTTGGTTTAAAGAGCTATAGTACCTGCACCTTTCAGCAGGTGGAGGAAAATTTCAGTGCCACCTTATTAATTGGCTCCATTGATATTTTAACTTCAAACCCAGATGCTACAATTGAAAGCAAATTTGACATTGTGTAAGGAAAGCATCAGATGAAGGTAATAAGCCCGTGAAAGGCTCATATTCCATAGGCTGCCTCTGCAGAACAGGCAACCTCCCAATACAGAATCTGATCTGAAAATTTATCCCAACAGTAACAGGAGAAGGAAGGAGGCTTCTATATCTTGCACACTTTGGGTTTCATATCAGGCACTTGAACTGTTGGACAGATGCCATTCTGAACCAAGTAAGTGAACATAGGGTTAGAATCATCTTTAATCTAGGTCTAATAATGAAGTATCAGCAGCAAAGTGGAGGCAGGGAGTGAGCAATCCATCTGTGCTGAGACTTGTTTATGGTTTCTAAAATGCCCAAGAAGACAGCAGCAGTAACTGTTCCGTAGTGTCCGTTTTCCTTGTGAGTTGTGTTGCTGATAGGAGGCTTTTCTGTGTCTTGAACTAAGAAGGCATTGAGGTACCCTGTGCCTAATTCCCTGGATCCAACAGGTCCATGCTAGAGCCAAACAATGCCACCAGCTGCTCCTCATAGTGTGTTATATTCCTCTTCATAATGTCCATGCAGGGTCCAAGCAACCTCTCAAATGCTTGCACATCCATGACTGCAAAGGAACAGAAGCAAAAACAAGATTGTTTGTCAAAAAGGACATCACACACCAATCTATTTTTGTAAGTCAGAACACAGACCCCCAGTCCAACCCATTCGGGTTTGAGGCTTCAATAGAAGCCACAGAAACAGAAATCGTACTTCTGTTTTCTCTCTATAATGTTATTTGGAGAAACAAGATTAATGAAACACACACCTGACCCAAGGACAAATGCAGAAGCCCAATACACACCACACTGGTATCTGAAAGCTGCGTGTGAGAAACAAGATGTAGACAAGAAGCTGATGCTACTTAGCCTTTCAAAAAGCACAGGCCACACAAGCAGAAAAAAGCAGAACCTGCTGAAAGGAAGCAGTGGTGCTTCCCAAACTTCTACATGGAGATCTGCTCCAGCCCATGCTCCTAG